TAGGTTTCTTAGATACGAACCAAAATCTCAGAATAATGTCATCATTATTTGTCACTTAAAACTGTGAAATGTTTAATGAAATGTTTTCCTTTAAAAATCCCATCCTTTAAAACAAATTGATATTTTGTTAGTATAATGCAATGACAATCATACATTTTTAAAAGTTCATAAAATGTCCTTAACCTTAATTATGCATGTGTACTTATGAGAGTGTGTGCTTTGGAGTGCGTTCGCTCTTCATCCTGTATGTAAAGCACATAGAGGCTGTAATCCAGCATACTGATCACTAGGGTTTAACGAGGATTTAATGTCTCTCTCGTTAACCTTTGACCTACACTGAAACAGAGAAGACATACAATGTCTCTCTAGCACTCTATTTCCTTCACCTCCTCTTTCCCACTTTCTTATGATTAAAGGATAATTCCGGTATTTAACACTTTGAGTCTATTTTTTTAGTTTGTTTTGGATGAACTAGAGTGTTGGACTTAGAAATTTTGACGATGGGTCCTGTCTCGACTTTTTGACTATTTTAGAATCGCCTCTGACCGCTTCAGAGTGGATGTCTATGGGCATGCTCAAACATGTCCTTAAAACAACTCTTAACGTTCGTTTTCAAAACTGTGTGGTTAGTGGTGTTTGTTGATGATTAAAAACAAATATATCAGCGCAATGTATGCTTTCAATCCGTGCTATTTGCTATAGTGGAACTATTTTTTCAGATACCTCACAACCGCGTATAAACTTGTTATCCTCGATATTTGAGTCTGAAGCGTTAGCACACTCCCGACCACTTGATGGCGACAACCACTTCTTCTGAGAGTCAGAGAACCGAGCGAAAACCTTAGACAGTAAAAGAAATGGACACAAAATCAAATCTCTTGATTTCAACGGAGAGATTTGAAGCCGAACATGGGCACTCACTTCCTGATAGCCAAGCGCACTGCGCAGGCTCAAACTGAGCTTGACGACGTAGTTGTCACGTGAGCAACCGTTCTGACCTTCTAGTAGCTGTGCCGGGACAAAATCTGAATTGAAATCTGAAACAAATCTGTTGTTGAAATATTTTGTCCCATTGCTTTTATGAACTCTCTATCTATGGGCTTCTCCCTTGACTTTATGCCTCCATGTCCACCCGATTGCCTCATAGACAGTAAACGATTGCCTACGAGCTTCTACTTCTGTCTATACGGTAATTTCTCTACTGTGCGACAGAGCGTCCAGTGGTTATGACGCAATCGTTAGCCTATTTTTACAAGAATGGCTTCTACGGGGCCATAACGTAAGATACAAAGTAATGGAGCCTTTTATACATTGTCGTGTTTCTTTAGAAATAAATAATGGACAAATGGAGTCTTTGGACGCCTCAGATGTAAAGTTATTCGCTGTCAAAGTGACGCCAAAATGAATGGGAGTCAATGGGATGCTAACAGCAGGTGATAGCCAGCTACAATGGCGGCCCCCGGAGGCAGCTTCAACTTCCGGCTGATGGATTACCCCCTTGGCGAAAACACTACAACCAAATGTAAACAGACCCCTTTCCTTTTCCAGTAGCGCAGTAATATCAACGAGCACTGAGTCCTCCAGCAGACATCAATGCGATTTTAAAAAATGGCAAATAAATCACGACAGAAACTGTATTTCGCTACGCTACTTGTTTTGGAACAACAACGAACACCACTACACTAACCACTCGGTGAGTTGCACAGTTTTGAAAACGAACGTTAAGGGTTGTTTTAAGGACATGTTTGAGCATGCCCATAGACATCCACTCTGAAGCGCTCAGAGGCGATTCTAAAATAGTCAAAAAGTCGAGACAGGACCCATCGTCAAAATTTCTAAGTCCACCACTCTAGTTCATCCAAAACAAACTAGAAAATAGACTCAAAGTGTTCAATACCGGAATTATCCTTTAACCCTCAACGATGAATTGTGAAATTATATTGAAGAAAATTATACTAATTTTACATATCCAATTGTAATATGTCTATGGGACCTTGTACTGCAATAGTAAATTACACAAATATTATTTTTTTCTTCTTCCTTTTGGTATAGGGCTGAAATGAGACCTGAACATTTCTTTAAAGGCTTTGAGATTCTCCCAAATATTTTCATTCAAAATGTGTTGCTATTGTGCATTTTGGAGTGTGCAACATTATTTAATTGCTTTGAACAAATGTTGCAGTTTTGCCACAGTGGGTCGCCTGAGGGTTAAGATCTCTATTCCTTCTCTCTGTCCTGCATCTTTATTCTATATGTCCCCTCGCTTTCTTTCTCTATGTGTTACATCAGACTCTCTGATTGCTACGGGTCATAAATCACACTGACTCAAGCAGCTTTTAAAAAGAGCTTATATGTTCTCAGTAAGGGTGTCAGTTAGAGCTGAAGCCATTGAAGCACTTTTTCCTTTTGTATTGAATACTAAACCGTATTGAACGAGCTGCTTTTCTGCAGTATAGACAGGTGGATGAGGATCAGCTTTTGCTGCCTTTTCATTTCTAAACATGAATGACTCACAATTAATTTCGGCCTAAAACCGGAGGCTTAAAAAAACAACAACGGCGAGTGCTTCATACTGCAATTAGTGCTCAAATGATATGCTTTCTGGGTTCTGACATGCTGGACAGGCTGCTCCCATACAACTGATTCTTGAAACAAAATAGGCTATAGAACTGAAAAAAAAAAAGTCATGCAATTACATTGAATTAATCTACTAAACATGTTCGGGTGCAACATATTTCTTCCAATATCACTGTGACATATTAATGTGCCAAATACTTCATATGAATACAGATCTTAAATTCACTCCAAAAAAGAATATAATAATACTATCTGAAATCAAAATTGCTTTTCAGATCAATCTTTTGAAATAAATAAATAAATAGATAAAGAAAGAAAGAAAGTATTATTTAAAATGATTAAAAAACTATATAACCCAACCCTATATGACCTTGTTCAATTCAAAATAAATATCAAAATAAGACCTTTAGGATGAGGGCTGACTTTAATAATCATAAATGTCAGTCAGTCTGAAAAAAAAAACATCTCACAAACAAAAGAAAAAACTAAAAAGTAGGGACACCTGTGAAAAAGTATATATTTGAATTATTAGAGTTATGGTCTGAGGGCAGTTGTTTTAGGGTTATAAAATAAAATAATTGAATGAAATTGTATTATTATTTTTTATATTTATAATTTATTTTAAATAAAAAAAAGGAACAAATTAAATAAATGTACATTCTAGTTGTCTTCCAAACTGTCAAACTATCATATATATATTTTAAAACTACGGCAGATAAAATGTCCCAGGTCTCAAGAATCAGTGATATACAGAATATGACTGCAGAGCTGGCTTTTTTTTTTTATTGAATAGCTGAAGTAATCAATTACTTAATTAATTGGGGAGAATTTAAAATCAGTCTCGGGTGAGAAACAAGTTATCTCCAGCAATAATCAACAGCACTGCAAAATAACCAGTATTGATTCACTGCACCTCGAGTGATAGACACTGAACCAGCAAACCATAATTTGTATGTGAGACAGTGTAGGTGTCTGGGACACGGTGTTCGTGAGTGTAGGAAGTGCTTGTGTGCTGGAAAGCACATCACTACACATTGCCACGCGTGAAGCTTAAAATAGCTCTTTGGCATCAGTTTTGGGATCAATTTTGAATTCAGTTTAACTTTAAAGACTCCATGAAATGGCTTGACGGCTGCAGTTTTCGTTCCTGGATTGAAGGTGGAACATATCCAAGGTGTCAATAGCTTTTAGCCTTTCCTCCATTTTACCATAATTTCAAAACGGTACATATTAAAGGTCTACATGCTAAAGTGTATTTTGTTAACTTTAAGGTGCGATCATTTAAGTGTAATTTAGCGAAAAATTTTGAGAGCAAAAAGGTCCACTTTCTATTGTCAATAACATAGCATAGCAATATATAAAGCACACCAAAGTCAATTTCAAACCAAGCAGCTTTCTATTGGTCAGTGCTGCAAATTTGCGGGACCAACTTGCTTATGAGAGGTCTTTAGCATAGCAACATGATGAGCCTACTGAAATGACAAGATTGTGCTCACAAAATTATGACGAGCAATGGTAAATGTGACCGCACCATAAGGCCTAGCATATAGATTATCCTCAAAGCTAACAGACTTGCTAAAAGCTTAAAAACTTCAATATTACCTAGTTCTGGCATGAAACACTAGATGGCGCAGGCTGATAGGTCTTTAACTCATTTGGTAGCAATCACATCATTATCTACATAGCACAGCTGATTGGTTGCGGTTGCATCAGCGACCAATGAGCTGCGGCTCAACATTTAAACAAATGCAGGTAGTGTTGCTGTTAGCAGTATGCAGCGTGCTTTCAGAAACCCTCCACCTTCCCCAGCTCCACCTGTATAGATCTGCTATGGGGGTTAAATTATGTATGTTATGTGCAGCAGCATGTCTTACATGTCTGTAAATGTATTGCAAGTCTCTGTGCTACGCTGCAGCAGGAGCAGCGTAGCAGATCTATTCCGCCAAGACCAAATACATTAACATTGCCATATTCATTACCATACCAATCTCCTGAGAGTTGTGATGACAGAACTGATTTCATAGGATCTTTAAGTGTGCTGGTTTGTGAATTTTAGGTTTGTCCGTGTGTGTGTAAGTGTGTGTGAAAGCATGTTGTGTAACAGTCCTTGTACAGAAGGCAGGATATTAATTTAGATTATATACTAAGCACACAGGTAAGGTGTATGCATATTTGTACACTACTGTAATTATGTGTCAGAGTCTATTTTTACCCATAGTGCTTTTCCACACAGTGAAGAAACAGCTCGTTCTTCAGTGTGACTCAGCGCTTTGAGAAAGCCGAGGAGTGAATTATAAAACTGCTAAAAAGGACAAAATGGACCAATCGACCAATTAAGAGGCCTTTCCGTATGTAAGGCTGCGAAATACACACAAAACCCAAGACACCCACCTACACCACCACAAACATAAGCCTTTTCTTACCTGCCCCTCCTCTCTGTACGACCAACGTGGCCTCTGCCCCAACAGGACACTCTTTTAGCAGCTCCACCACCTGCGTGTGTGGCAGGGTTAATGCGGGTTGCTGGTTAATTTCCACAATCAGATCGCCCTCACAGAGCCCCGGGCATCCCTGCGCCTCCAGAATCTGCTTCACCCTCTGTCCTCCATTACTGTCTGCTATGGTGAATCCAAACCCATCCGCACCTTTCACCATGGTAACTGTTAGCAGCTCTCCACCGGCCGCTCCTGACGATGCCATTGAGACGCTGTCCTCCAGCGGTCCGGCGTCCAGGTGGGTGTCTCCAGGGTGGGGATGAGGCAACGTAGTATGGAGGGGGTCAATGAAGCGAGCGGTGCGGGAGATGTACTCCATGTAGCTGTCGTAGCTATTCTGTCCGTTGACCAGCAGAGGGCGATCAATGAGGCCGAGGGGGGACAGCAAGGAGCTGGCTGCATCCTCCGGGTCATAAGGAAGAGGGTAACCCCTGCAAAGGACGAGGGTCACGCTTTGTCCGATTGGGACAGATTGGAAAAGTTTCACCACATCAGCGTGGGTGGTGCCCAGGACGCAGACGTCATTAATGTAGACAATCACGTCTCCTGGAAAACAGTTAGACAGGAAGAAAGATATATTAGCATATATTAGCTCTGGCAGATATGGTATATGCGGCCCAGAAGCAAAGGCTGTTCCAAAAGGTGGGCATATAACCTTAAAAATAATGATGCTTTTTTAAAAGATACCTCATTCCCAAAACGCTTTGCGATGAGCACAGAGACGAAATGCATCCAAGATGGTATATGGTCAAAAAATGTTTTAAAATCATTAATCTGATTACAAATATATGTTGATTATTTGTGTATGTTTGTGCTTATGACAGTTTAGACATTAGCTTAGCATCATGCTAATGTCAAACTATCAGTTGATCTGCTCTATTATTTGTCTGTGCTGTGTATTGTGCTTATGAGATTTCTAACTCGTTAGCTTAGCAACACACTAATATCAAACTCTATCAGTTTTGACTGTCTGCTCCATTATGTGTTTGTGTTATGCATTTTGTGCTTATTAAAGTGATAAGTCATTGCTTAACTATATGCTAATGTCAAACTACCAGTTTTAACTTTCTGCTCCATTATTGGTGTGTGCTGTGTATTTTTGTGCTAATGGAGTGCTTTAGAGGGTTATTAGCTTAGCAACATGCTAATGTCATCTATTTTGACTATCTGCTCTATTATTTGTGTGTGCTGTAGATTTCGTGCTTATGACAGTGATAAGTCATTAGTTTAGCAACATGCTAAAGTCAAACTTCATTAATCTTCACTATGGCTACAGTACTCAATTGAAATGCTGTTGGAGTTTCATAATAATCACAATTCTTAATAATCATAATTTGGAACTCATTCTAGTGGGCTCAATACAAACCCTTTAAGAATGATCTAACTCTAACTGGATATAAGATCCAACTGGATACACTGAAATTCCAATTGAATTTATTTCAGTGTATTTTTCCCCTCAGAATGTTATTTTATTCATAATTTTTGAATACAATTTTGGTATTGTGGTAATATCTCATTAGAACTGTTTAGGATTGGTTCCAACTTATCTTTAAATTTCATTAGTACTCCTTTAGGATTTTTTTCTTTTTGACTAGAGAAGTCAAATCTCCTGTGTGCTTTACATGAGAAATGCCATTTGTGTGGCTCGCTGCCTGTGAATGTTCCTAAGGAATACGAGGGCTAAACAGCTCACTAGGTTTTGGAACAGAGCTAAAAACAAAAAACAAAAAAAAACCAGTTTCTTTAATCAGGGTGAAAAACTTTCCCCAAATTTGCAATGATTTTAGTCATCCAATATTTATTCATGTCGTCTCCCCTGGTAACTGTGACAATTACAGAGCAACAATTTGAAGGAATAATTCGAGGGACCTACTCAATACTTCCCCAAATCCTAAAGTGTCGCTATGCTTCAAGCCTTAAGTGTGATCTTCACTTCTCTTTTTCACTCATTCAATTTGCCCGCAATGTGAAATCGAGCTTGTGTTGTGAAAAACATTCGATTTAACGTTTGACAACGTTTGACTTATGTTTTCAGGCCTAATTTTGGCTTTTCCTTCCATCTTTCAATGCTGGCAAAGAATGAATTATTAGAAATTCAATTATTATGGAAATGAGATGATTCCAGAAAATGTGGAGAATGTATTTGTGGGATAAACAAGATCACGGGGTCTCACAGAGTGTATGTTGTGTTACTGGTTTCCTGGAGACATTTCATGCAGGGCCATACACGTCTATCGATAGGCTTGTCCCCTCCTGACTGTTGTGTGCAGAAATTTTAATTAATCTCGGTAAATACGTTCGACATTTGCCTAGAGCCTCTGGTGTTCCAATCAATAATTTCACATGCTTCTAGAGAGCAAATGATATCGGTGTGACCTCACTGTTTCACACCTAACTTTATGTCAGCATCAATCTAGGCCAAAGCCCCACAGGGCAAACCAGATCACTACATTCCTACAAACGAAACATTATCTTCTACTTAAAATTCAAACTTACCTCTTTAGTATCAAGTATATTTTTAACAGCTCCCAGATTAAAGCTTAAAAATGAACATGAAACATTTTGTCATATTCTTGTCCTGTTCTGGTTTAGAATATGTTTGTGTATGATGACACCGGGTAATAAAAGCCTGTAAAAGTTCAAACTAGGACTGGTTTATATCCATCACCTTTTTAGTGACTTGTATGAGAGCATTTAAATAGAGATGTATTAATAGGGCATCTAACACTAATAGCAAAAATATAGAGTAAGTTTGATTATTTTCAATGAATCAGATAATATAATCAGATGCAATTAATTGAATGAAATGAGTCATTAATCACTCAAAAGTGTTCACAAATTTATTTATTAAGATATTTCATTTAAAATAATTATTATATAAGTAGGCTACATATTTTTTGTTTATTACTACTATTGTTATATTGGTGCATTTAAATTAAAATGATAAAATATTATTTATTTATTTTCTTTTTTGTTGCCGTTTGAAAAAGAAGTGTGGAAAACATACCTTAAGTGTTTTTAACAAGATTTGTAGTGTTTTAGTTCTTAAAACATTTAAAATCTTTACTAGGCAAAAATGTCTGTTTGGTTGAAACTATACTTTTTTTGATTAAACTTATAATTATCCTTCTATGTCATGAAATTCCTCTTAATATTTGTATTCAACTTTTCACTAATCGTTATGATGGTAATAGAATGTTTTCATATAAAAAAGATTTGAAAATAGCAATATAGAAATCAACAAATTTCAACAAATATCATGTATGAATATATAATACTGTGTCTATATAGACAATATTATATAGTAGCTCAGCTGCTCGGTATAATGAGGTTATACTAATATATACTGTATATACACTCACGTAAAGGATTATTAGGAACACCATACTAATACTGTGTTTGACCCCCTTTCGCCTTCAGAAATGCCTTAATTCTACGTGGCATTGATTCAACAAGGTGCTGAAAGCATTCTTTAGAAATGTTGGCCCATATTGATAGGATAGCATCTTGCAGTTGATGGAGATTTGTGGGATGCACATCCAGGGCACGAAGCTCCCGTTCCACCACATCCCAAAGATGCTCTATTGGGTTGAGATCTGGTGACTGTGGGGGCCATTTTAGTACAGTGAACTCATTGTCATGTTCAAGAAACCAATTTGAAATGATTCAAGCTTTGTGACATGGTGCATTATCCTGCTGGAAGTAGCCATCAGAGGATGGGTACATGGTGGCCATAAAGGGATGGACATGGTCAGAAACAATGCTCAGGTAGGCCGTGGCATTTAAACAATGCCCAATTGGCACTAAGGGGCCTAAAGCGTGCCAAAAAAACATCCCCCACACCATTACACCACCACCACCAGCATGCACAGTGGTAACAAGGCATGATGGATCCATGTTCTCATTCTGTTTACGCCAAATTCTGACTCTACCATCTGAATGTCTCAACAGAAATCGAGACTCATCAGACCAGGCAACATTTTTCCAGTCTTCAACTGTCCAATTTTGGTGAGCTCTTGCAAATTGTAGCCTCTTTTTCCTATTTGTAGTGGAGATGATTGGTACCCGGTGGGGTCTTCTGCTGTTGTAGCCCATCCGCCTCAAGGTTGTGCGTGTTGTGGCTTCACAAATGCTTTGCTGCATACCTCGGTTGCAACGAGTGGTTATTTCAGTCAAAGTTGCTCTTCTATCAGCTTGAATCAGTCGGCCCATTCTCCTCTGACCTCTAGCATCAACAAGGCATTTTCGCCCACAGGACTGGCGCATACTGGATGTTTTTCCCTTTTCACGCCATTCTTTGTAAACCCTAGAAATGGTTGTGTGTGAAAATCCCAGAAACTGAGCAGATTGTAAAATACTCAGACCGGCCCGTCTGGCACCAACAACCATGCCCCCTTCAAAATTGCTTAAATCACCTTTCTTTCCCATTCTGACATTCAGTTTGGAGTTCAGGAGATTTTTTTGACCAGGACCACACCCCTAAATGCATTGAAGCAACTGCCATCTGATTGGTTGATTAGATAATTGCATTAATGAGAAATTGAACAGGTGTTCCTAATAATCCTTTAGGTTAATGTATATATATATACTGTATATATATATATATATATATATATATATATATATACTGTATATATATATTGTTTAGACCTTATGTAGCCACGCCCCTTTTCCGCGCTGAGCTCATTGTCTTTTGACTTCCGGTCTGTATTTTCACAGCGATCTTGCGTAGTTATGAATGAACGGCTAGTTAAAAAAAATTCCCAAGGTCCATTTGTTAAGACATATGCTTTACAATGCTTATCATAAACATTACAATGCTCATGATAACTTTCGTTAACTCTACAATAAGTAAATCAACTTCACCAGCTAATTACTCCTGGACAGCGATGTCATAGAAATATACAGAGCAACCGCAAAAACGGAGGTTCAAAGACAATATTCTAAAGATGGCGGCGTCCTCGTTTCTCTGATGCATAAGGTCTATAACCTCATTAAACCAAGCAGCTGAACTATATATAATATTGTCTATAAAATATAATATATATAAACCGAGCAATTGAACTACAGTCTTGTTCTGAAGAGGCTGCATAAAACTAATGACAGCAAGACAACATAAAAGGTGCTTTGGGAACCAGCGTCTGAGACATCTTATGTCTGTGCATGCATGGAAACCCAAAGGAGCACTGCTCTGTGACTGGCATTCTAAACAAACACAATCAATACACAATCCCCTAAACATTGCTGCTGAGACACAATAGACATCCTACACAAATGAAGCTCTAAACATCAAATGCAGAGATCCTCCAGCAGGCACATGACTTGTGTGCTTCCTGTCCTTCAGCAGCACACTGGTGCACCTGATTCAACTCATTATCTGCTAGTTAAGTTCTTTATGAGAGGACTCAGGCACAGCTGTGAGGGGCAGAGTAAACATCAGCACAGCAGAGGCATCAATAGTGGGAGTGGATGGCAGGGCTCTAAGATGCAGGACGTGATGCATGTCACGCAGCAAATCCCAGCACTCTGCATTTATCAAGGAAGCACTTAGCCAGGAGTACAGGAGAGAGAGAGAGTCATGTCATGTTTACGTCACATTAACGCTAATTTGTGGATTAGGTGTTAAACAGATTATTGTGGTGGTTAGTGTTGGAGTAACAAAATGTGTTACATAATCACATTACATTTTGTAAGTATCAAAAATATGAGTAATATTAATAGTGTGATTTGCCTTAGCAAACAACACTAATGAATAGAAAAATAGCACATTAATTGTTTGGAAATGTAACTCTTGTATAATGGTGTATATTAAAAACCAATAACGATTAACCAATAATTATTTTAATGTCAAGGAACAATGGCCAATATTAAAATTTAAAATTATTTTTGTCTAAATAAATGAAACATAATAGCCTAAATCAATTATTTTATATGCCGAAAGTCAATTTATACCTATAATGTGCAGTGAGAAAAATAGATATTCATTTTTAGATTTTCTTAAGATTACATTCAATAGTGTTAAATTATCCATGATTTTTAAGGAGAGTTAGATGATGCTAAATGTTAAAACTTGGGTAAACTTGGGGTTGGGTGAACATTCACAATTAAATATTCAATATCTATGGTGCCTGGTAATGGACCGGTTCTGTTCACTTAGTTTTGTTGTGATAATATGTAATTTTGTCGATGTAAAAAAATGATGTTAAAAGAAAATGTTGAGGCAAGAACTTCCTTTTCTCATGGCCACAACTTTAGTTTTGTTTTGTTTTATTGAGGGAAATTTCTTATCTTAACATTTATATGATCATATTTCATTTCAATTAGACAAGTCAAAAATATATTAGTAAGGATAATTCTGAAAATATAAGTGAGCAATCCTGATAAATTAGTGTGAATAATCTGGAATTGCTTAATGTGCCAAAATTTGCTACCAGCTAGTCGGCTGCAACTTGCTAGAGGGACATTCTCATTCTAGAGACCATCTGATTGTCATTGATATTTTAGTCAACTAAAGGTGTGTTTTAAATCAACATTTACAGGCACATTAGCATACAGATTAGCCTCAAAGCTAACACACATTGACTAAAATCAACAAGAAAATCTAATTTTGATTACATGGGGTCAAAAGATACATTCCCCGACACTGGTGATGGTTATGAAGTTATGAACTGTATGTATGTCCACCGCAAGACATGTTTCCTCGCCGAGGACTCTAATCCAGCAGAATTGAAGATTTCAAACTGGCGTAGACCTGAAGCTCCTCCAGAGCGCTGTCTGAGTGTGTGTGTGTGTGTGATTGTGAAACAGCACAAGTAGGACAAGGAGTCCAGAGGGAGTGTGAAGGGTGGAAGAGAGGAGCAGAAAGGAGAGGAAAGCAGCAGAGAGGATCATTTCCACAACTGCCAACAACAATATTACAATAAAGTGTCATAAAATATCATCACAATAAAGACACATTGACTATATTCTGAACTCTGCACTGTGGGTCCCTCTGAATGTACGAGATATTTCAATGCTGATGTACTGTATGTGTGTGTGTGTGTGTGAGTAATGCTGCCGCAGTCACACTTCCACTAGGCTGGACTGGAGGTGCAGGATTTATAAAGTCCCACTGTGATTAATGGACACATGCCCTGCTGTGGATAATGCACAAAGCCCATAAATACACTGTCCGTAAATGCATTTAACCCCTGGATGTCCCTAACGCACTATCAACCAAAAAAAATGACAAATTCACACCGTAACCTTGTCAGTAGTGTGGGCACAAACAGAGATTGAGAGAGACTGGCCAGCTGGGAGCTGTGTTTGAGTGAGAAAAGCACATTAGTGCAGTTCAAACATTGACCTGCAAGTGCGTGCGTGTGTGTGTGTGTGTGTGTGTGTGTTTACCTGTAGCCATTTTCCCATCCTGTGCAGCAGGCCCGTCCGGTATGACGCTTTTGACCTGTAGAAACTCATCCGGTTCGTCACCGCCAATGATAGTGAAACCAAATCCCATGTTGCTTTTCTGTAGGGCTGTAGACAGAAAGCTGCCCTTCAGCTGCGTAGGGTCCCGCGTGAACAGAGGCTTCTCTGCCAGGGCGAAGAAATGCAGATAGAAACATGAGATTGTAATCACGCAAAAGATATCCAAAAATGAATGGGTTACTTTGTAAAAGCCACTCCAAACTCATCAGAAGCAGCAGATCACATCACACTGGGGAATTGTGGGTAGAAGGCCAAGCGCTCAGCTTACAGCCAAACATACAAGAGCAGAGTGGGACACGATGGCTTGTTTTTTGCTCAAGCCTCACTTTTGGCTCTTTAGGCATACTCCAATGTTACACTCAACAGTGTTTAGCCTTGTCCAGGGCCATCTCTCAGGACAGCCAAGACTTAAGCAAAAAAAAAAAAAAGCCAGGAGAAGAACCAGCACAGGCAAAGCGGTTCTTCTGCTCTCACTGAGTGGAGAAAAGCAATCTCGAAAACTGTTCTGGAGAAGCCGTTTCGCTGTAATCGCACACAAACAAGGACCTTTGTACTGAAGAGCTGCTTCTTCAAACTGAAGAGATGCCTACTTCAGTACACAGTAGGGAGTTACAAAATGCCAGCCTTAGTCAAATCTTATTTTCTTAGGTTCTTATGTCTTTTTTCACCCTCATCTAGGCCAGATCTAGTCTTTTAGCAGTTTCTGCCATGCGTTTGTTAGGGACAATAGCTGGTCCAGATACCCTGCTGAAAGACCAGCACCAGCAATACGTAGCTGGAGCTGCTGGTTGACCAAGGTAGCCTTGTAGGTTGAAACAGATATGGGCAAAGTTGGTAGGTTTTCTGGATGGTTATAAATGCCACACAAAATGGCATTCGTTCGTATTTTAGAGCGAAACAGTATATTCTGTAATGAGATTAAAATTAAGAGCAGCACTTGATTTTGTCTTTCGGGAGATGTTCGGATCATGAAAAGCTTGATGTATCATGCTTGTATGAGGATTTTGGGGCACTAACACCCAGTAGGGATATATCTGTGTATATTGCTTTCGAAATATGTGATGTAAACCTCAAGTTATTAATATAACATTATATTAATCTTAATTCTAATAGGAATAATGATATGAACAATTTAGGCTACATTAAAATGAACTTTGGCTAGTCTACTCTCACAAATCGACTAGTTGGTAGTTGTTGGTTACTTGGCTTATGGAAACAATAGCCATTTGTTAAAAACCAGCATCCCAAACATATGATGGCGTCCAGTTATGCTGGTCTATTCAGCAGGGTAGGTGTACTCATAAAAATCCTGGAAGCGCAGGCAAAAAGTAAAATACAAAACCAAAAAAATTAAAAGCCAACAAAAAGTCTCCACTGGTTCCAATGAAACTGAGAGAATGTTCCTTATAGGAACTTAAGGACTATGCAAAAACAGGCCAGGCGAATAGACTCTTGCTGTAGCCTCCCCTTGCACAAAGGGGGCACCGGTCTAGGGACGTACCATGCAGTCCAAACACACCGGCCCGGTACAGGGGGGCCTCGGAGAGGTCAGTGAGACTGTGAGAGCGCTCGGGAGCGGGACCCACATATGCCAGTCTGGCCCTTGGTAGGGTGGCAGAGGAGGGGCTCTCCTCCACTGTTACAGAGAACAAAAACCCTCAACTCACACAGGAAATCAAGAAATGTCATTGAGAGATATAAGGTAGGTCTACTATGGACATAGAAGAGTTACATTTCAACAGGAAATTCTAGGGTGAGTTTGCCAAGTTAAACACCCTTGTTGGTCCACCCATTGCGAATAATCCGTTTCTAGAGTTTAAGGCTAGACAATGTAGACATACAGTAAAACTGGGGTTGCATCCTCAACTCACACACAAAATCTGTAACTGGCATTGAAGGATACAAATTTGGCCTACTATGGACATAAAAGTGTTACATTTTAACAGGAAATCTAGGTTGATTTTACCAAGTTGAGTATCCTTGTTACGTTCGTGGAAGAACGTTCCCATCAATCAGTTTTAATGGCTAAATTTAGGGTTAGGGATAGGGTTGGAGTTGAAGTCTCACGAATATAATCGATTCTTTATTTGGTTTATGGGTAGTTATGGTTAGGGTTTGTGTCTAGCAATAGGGTTAGGTGCCAACAAAATATGTTGATCCAGGAACATGTCCTACTTGGCAAATTGCGCTCACCACAAAATTGATCTACTAAAGAAAGAGGAGGTGTTCCTATGGATTAAAGGAGTACGCTCTGTATTGGTCAACATTTAACATCTGAGCATCTGAGAGACTGAGCATCCAGATCAAGTAAATGCTTTATCATTCCTCTATGATCCATCTTTGCTTAAAGGTTCTCTAAGCGATCCTGGGTGACGTCACTTCTTGTTGACGTTCGAACTATTGTCAAACAAAACGGAGGCTAGCTAGACCCTCCCTCCTCCTCATCCGCACACTAACCCCCCAAACCCCACTCCCAAGTCCTTCTTGTCGGTCATTGGCTAGAACAGTTTGTTATGTTTCGGGGAGCGGGTCGCCGCAGTTTGCTTTTGTTGCTGTTTGTGGAGCCTGGGCTGTCTACAGAGATCGCGTTTCTTTACAGTGTGTTCAGGGGACAGGCAGCCAGCGGATAGTGAGGAGATGTTTGCTGTATGTGACAAAAAATGTTTTGGCCTAAAAAACGTGTGACATCGCTTAGAGCACCTTTAAATCTCAAGGTACTGTACTTCTCTCTTGTGGACACATGATAATGAACTTGTAATGAACCAGTCTGACTAGAGGATAATGAAAACAAATCTTAATTCTACAAGTGAAAACAGTAATTACATTAACAGTATACACAGTACTTCCTTTTTGTGGAAGGCTATTTTCTACTCTAATATGACCATATAAGTCCACATTTAAAGGAGAACTCCGGCGCAAAATGAACCTTTGGTCTAATTACACATTGTTACCTAGTCAACCGTTATCTGAGATTTGTTTTCATGATTATCGAATGTAGTTTTATCTCTAAAAACAGTTTAGCCTATAAAGCTAGTATAACGCTAGTATATTGGGCATAGAGTAATGACAAATAAAAATCGCTTGTTAATACCACTAACAAGGCTCAAAATAGCCCCACACTAGCACGGTAGCATAATGAGTGTCCCTACCTTCAAACCGAAGCATTGAGAACTTTGTCAGTGTCCAGACAGTTTAATAAGAAGATATTTTATACATACAGTCAACTTCGCGTATACAGGCAGAAGCCATCTTTGAAAAACAGTCTCTACCAGTCGATCTACGAACGCCGATCCAAGCCTGCTGTTCACGCTCACCTTATCACAACTCACCAGCGCACTTGGATCGGCGTTCGTAGATCGACTGGTAGAGACTGTTTTTCAAAGATGGCTTCTGCCTGTATACGCGAAGTTGACTGTATGTATAAAATATCTTCTTATTAAACTGTCTGGACACTGACAAAGTTCTCAATGCTTCGGTTTGAAGGTAGGGACCCTCATTATGCTACCGTGTTAGTGTGGGGCTATTTTGAGCCTTGTTAGTGGTATTAACAAGCGATTTTTATTTGTCATTACTCCATGCCCAATATACTAGCGTTATACTAGCTTTATAGGCTAAACTGTTTTTAGAGATAAAACTATTTACATTCGATAATCATGAAAACAAATCTCAGATAACGGTTGACTAGGTAACAATGTGTAATTTTAGCCATATAGTGTAGGTATGTTGGTGGTTTCTAATGCAGCCTGCTCTCTCAAAAAGATGGATTAAAACAAGTTAAAGAAAGTTCTTCTTGTTAACGCCCATTCTGGCTGAACATACTCTGCCCCTTACCTTTATGTGGGTAGCAGCATGACCATTCTGAATGGATAAACTAAAAAAGGAATTATTACTAGAAATGTACCCATAATAAGTCCAAGGTCATATTATGAAAGGAGACACATTCTCATTTGATAACCGAGTTTTAAAGAAAACAGGAAGCATTCAGGCGTAGCTCAAAGAGACTGTACAGCTATATTTACAGGATTAGTTCACCAAAAAGGAAAATTCTGTCATTATTTACTCATCCTCATGCCCATCCAAACCTGAATGTTCTTCTTTCTTCAATGGAACACAAAAGGAGAAATTCTGAATAAAGTACTGTTTTATTCCTTTCATAAATTTACAATGAATAGAGACAAAGGCTTTAAAGAATAGAGATACAGCGCAGAGGATAGAGCAAAACAAATCACCGGTCATGAATTAGAAGTCTAAAAGGATTATTTTTACAGAGAAATGTTGGAGGATTCTGATATAAGAGAAGAGGAGCTTGAATTTGTTGCCCAGCCCTATTTGTTTGAACCTCGAGAGAAGACTACTCTCACCTAAGCTTTCACTACTCCTACATCATATGTCGGGTCAGAGGTCACTCTTCCTCTGGAAATAGACTTGCATACGGCCGTTACCGGAAGCCAGTGATTATAGTTTATAAAGTTATAAATATCAAGCGTAGCGTCAGTTCTGGCAGGTCTTGTTAGTCAAGCTCGCATCAGCTGACACTCAGCTGATCCACGTCTACCTAAAGCAATACGACGCCTATCACTGTACACATGTATAAGCCCCTTCAGTATTATCAGCAGCTATCGCGTTCCTCAGGAGCTAATTACCCTCCTCCATCCCCAGCTCCTCCTCTCGCCCAGTCAGGATTTGGCATTCTGATTCCCCTTGAATCAGAATAAATTCTCGAATGATGTTGTACTTTAAAATCTTGAATGAATTATCTCTGCATACATTCCTGTTGGTTCTGTTCTGTTTACCCTAAGGGAGGTTATTGCTGCTCTCCCTGCTCTTATCCATGCTAGGCTGCAGGATAAGAGCCCATTCTCGCCCAGAATGGAACCATACCGTCAATCCAAACTGTATACTAATTGTCAATAGTATACACAAAAGTGGTCCTGACAGAAATGGACATTTTTCTTACAAAAAGGACTTTATTAACCCCCTGGAGCTTTTATCCTTTTTAGGATTACTTTTATGATGGATGGATGTGCTTTTTTTTGGGCTTCAAAAACTAGGTTACTATTCACTTCCATTATAAAGCTTGGAAGAGCCAGGATATTTTTTTATATAACTCCGATTGTGTTTGGCAGAAAGTCAAATAGACCTAGGATGGCTGGAGGGTGAGTAAATTATGGGATCATTTTCATTTTTGGGTGAACAAACCGGACATGTTTTAATAAATTATCTGTGGGGTATTTTGAGAAGAAACGCCCCCGACACATTCTGGGGACACCCGAGACTTATATTACATCTTGTAAAAAGGGGCATAATAATTACACAAAGCCCGTCTGAATGATTTATTTGGTCTGGCTGTAAGAAAGTAATATGCTTAACAATAAGTTCACTCACAGAGGGTACACTACAAAAGACAACGTCTGAGCTTAGATGTGTTTCTATGGAGACAGACACTTAGCTCATAAGAGAAATATAATAATAGTCATGAACACCAAGCCTCAATCAGCAATCCCAACAGATTTGATGTTAAACATGCCATTGCATGGAGAGAAGATAAGTGTTATTATGATGTCATCGGTGTGCCTAAGATAGGGTGGTTGGGAACCACCATGTTTAACCAGATTTGCATAAGTACCACACCTTAAAATTCCTCAGGTAATTTTTAAGATATCAGTAATACTTTACCTCTGTAGACTGTAGGTAGGGGGAGAGAGGACAAGCCCTGACTCTGCATCTGCTGCTGCTGTTGCAGTCTTCTCTTGGCCTCTAAAACTGGGTTCTCAAACTGAGTCCTTCGGTTTATGTGACTGCAATCAGAAAACCAGAAATAGAGATTCGTTCAAGTTTATTTTTGAGTGGCTACTTGGAAATACATGACTATTCAATATATGAGCCACCTAGCGTTCTGCCTTACTGACTACTGCCTTTTTAGGGAGCATTTTAACTGAAATGGAACCTCATAAGTAACTGATTTGGAACACCATAGACCACAGCTATACCTATGAAAGCAGCTATTTTATCAAATCTGTCAACTCTGACTGCCCAATATCTGCAGAATGGCACTGACTTTCGGCAACTTGACTCGTTGACTGAAAATCAGGGCAAAAATATTCACAAAAGTCATGTAGTGTATTCCAGCCTTTTGCTCAAGGTACTCTAACGCAACTAATTTTGCTTCAGGACCCAGATTTTATATTGGCCACCAAATGGCGAGCAAAAACTGTACCAAAACCGTTTGTTTTACAACCAAAAACCATTGATATTTGGTATTGAATGAAATATATTTATAATACGCCATCTTGGATTAATTATTTAACTGAACTTGCATGCAATGCATACATGGCACATTCCATATCAGTAACTGGCTATTAAAGCATATATGAAGTTATGCCATTGGTCCCTTGCTTTGTGCACTTTGAAAACTTGATCTGCAAATCCTCCAATACAATTTCTCATGGTTGATCAATGCAAATCATTTTTCCCACCCAAGAATTGTCCACCCCCACCCGGCAAACAAATACTGACACAAGCCATTAAATGTTTTGCACAAGAAAAAGCACGAGTGTTAATTTGAATACCTTTTAACAAGTAATTTTAAATCAAACAAGCTGTGGTCATTGACAGAAATACAGAACAGAAACCCAGTTAGTCTTTATCTTTGTTAAAAGAGTGATGTAAGAATGAGATCAGACAGTAATGAGAGCATTCTCTGATCTGGAAGAAAAATGGCGCCTTTGACTATCTGTACAACACTTGCTGTCAGAGTTAATTCAATCTGTTTAAAAAGCACTGTTGAAAACCATGCCATTTGAAAGTACAAAGACAATTAGGCCCCATTAAAAGGCATTCTGTTGAAAAGAGGTAATGCTTTCTTGTAAAGAAGTGGCATTTGTAATTACAGCTTTGTGCCAAGACTATGCAAGGTCAATTTTGAAGACATTGGTTTTAGATTTCTTTTGAGGTATAAAGCTTGAAATTAATTCAACAGATCAAAGAATAATGAGCAAATGGAATTTGTCCCTAGTACTGTCCCTCTCAGTTTAGCTGACATCAGTTCTACACTTTCTTATAGCACATTAAGCCAAGGTTTGGCAAAGTAGAAACCAGCCTTGGAATTGGTTCTGGCTTGGTCCTATTAAATACAGACTGTAAAAGGTAAAGTGATGTCTCATTTAACCTGAAAATACACACACAACACAAATACAAATGATACGCTTTATGCATAATGATCTTGTTAAGCGTCTCCTCTAAAAAGCCACTAGACACAGATTTATAGTAAATTACAGTCATTTCACACCAGATGCAGCTTCCGATCTTCTCAACTGTCATCTTCCACAACATAAAACCCACAATTGTACAATTACTACTGAGGATGGGCCTTTCTTCCTTTCAATATAATAAACAAAAAAAGTATTTAAATAATAGCTGTTGTTACTTTAGAAATAAGTAAAATAAGTGAAATAAGTTCAAATAAAATAAAAAACAACTGGTTACCAATAATACGTATTGCATTATGGAAACAGGACAGACAGACAGACAGACAGACAGACAGACAGACAGACAGACAGACAGATGATAGAAGACAGACAGACAGATGATAGAAGACAGACAGACAGACAGACAGATGATAGAAGACAGACAGACAGACAGACAGACAGACAGACAGACAGATGATAGAAGACAGACAGACAGACAGACAGACAGACAGATGGTAGAAGACAGACAGACAGACAGACAGACAGACAGACAGACAGACAGATGATAGAAGACAGACAGACAGATGATAGAAGATAGACAGACAGACAGATGATAGAAGACAGACAGACGATAGAAGATATACAGACAGACAGACAGACAGATGATAGAAGACAGACAGACAGACAGACAGACAGACAGATGATAGAAGATAGACAGACAGACAGACAGACAGATGATAGAAGACAGACAGACAGACAGATGATAGAAGATAGACAGACAGACAGATGATAGAAGACAGACAGACAGACAGACGATAGAAGATAGACAGACATACAGATGATAGAAGACAGACAGACAGATGATAGAAGACAGACAGACAGAAAGATGATAGAAGACAGACAGACAGACAGACAGACAGATGATAGAAGACAGACAGACAGACAGATGATAGAAGACAGACAGACAGACAGACAGATGGTGGAAGACAGACAGACAGACAGACAGATGATAGAAGACAGACAGACAGATGATAGAAGATAGACAGACAGACAGATGATAGAAGACAGACAGACAGACAGACAGACAGATGATAGAAGATAGACAGACATACAGATGATAGAAGACAGACAGACAGACAGACAGACAGATGATAGAAGATAGACAGACAGACAGATGATAGAAGACAGACAGACAGACAGACAGATGATAGAAGACAGACAGACAGACAGACAGATGATAGAAGACAGACAGACAGAAAGATGATAGAAGACAGACAGACAGACAAATGATAGAAGACAGACAGACAGACAGACAGACAGATGATAGAAGACAGACAGACAGACAGATGATAGAAGACAGACAGACAGACAGACAGATGATAGAAGACAGACAGACAGATGATAGAAGACAGACAGACAGACAGACAGACAGACAGATAGACAGACAGACAGACAGATAGACAGATAGATAGATAGATAGATAGACAGACAGACAGACAGACAGACAGACAGACAGACAGACAGACAGACAGACAGATAGATAGATAGATAGATAGATAGATAGATCAAAGATAAAGTTAAACCCAAAGGGGAAATTCACGTTAAAGCAGCACAATTTAAATTATATATACTGTATATATATAATATATTATACATTTTATTATATACAATTTAAATTATATATAATAAACATTGATAATAAATACCCAACAAAGCAGGTTGGTAGATAGACCGATTCTTTATGATTACAGTTCAATGACATGAAGTTCCATAATCCCATCTGAGGACACCAGGCGAGGATGCAGTGCTGCTTTTAAGATGCAGTTGGAGAGAGTGTGTGGTTGTGTATCCACATGATACTACAGCTGCATTATTGGCTCTAGGCTTGCTGTTCTCCTCTGTCCTGGGAGGAAGAGTAGCCAAGCAAGCCATACTATAAATAGTTCCACCTCACCCCAGACTGTGCATTAAGCAAGAAAAATGATGGCACACACACGCAAACACTGCGAACTGAATTAGGAAACACTGGAGCATCTGTTTTTCGTCATGAGCATGGTGGAGCAGCTATATAACCAATTAACACAGAGCTGTGAGAAAATGAGCCAAAGTGCCATTAAACTGTGTGTGTTAACTCAAGCAGTTGAACTTACTCAACATAGTAGGTTCCATAAATAGGGTCATCGATTTTCTCCCAGCCATAAGGAAGCTCTGAAAAACAAACAATAAATAATTCCGCTTTAAACGTTTAATTCAAAGCTAGATGTTGCAGTAGAGAAGAGTCAAATTAATTCGTTTCATTACTATATATTGGGTCTTTATCTGAAAAGGGTGCCATTTGGACTTCAGGTGTCCCCATAACTTACTGAGGTAATTAACAGAAAACTGTGCTTCACATTATTATTTGAAAGATGTAGTGTGCAAATGCAAAATAACTTTTAAAATAAAGCATTCATTTTATTCTTAAACATTTGTCACAGTCTTTCACAATATCATCTAATTTGCAGGGCCCCATTCATCACCATGACATTTTAATGGGTTATACAGAGTAAAAAAAAATGTTGCTTTTATTGAAATTAAAACATTGTGCTTTCATCGTCTGCATTTTATTTTTTTCTAAACACATTTCTGAAAATTGCAGAATTTATCTTTGTCCTTGTACTTTTTGTTCACCTCCATTATAGATGTGACATTCCTGCTTTTAAAAATAATGGTCTGATTTTCAGACATCTTATTAGTTTTATAAGAGATATAAGTGAGAAATATTGTTCTTGGTACAAAACACAATAATATTTGTGATGTTATATGCTAATTAAGACTGACAATTCTGAATACAGACAGACAGACAGATAGACAGACAGATAGACAGACAGTAGATAGATATATAGATAGATCGATAGATCGATAGATAGATAGATGATATTTCCACAATTTTGAAGTAACCTTTTCAAATGAAATAAATAATTTAGTAAACAAATAATATTCTTACCATATAGTATTAGCATAAATAGCACCATTTCCTGAGAATATGCTGTTTTCACTGTCTATCCTAACATTCCCTGTTGCTTAATAAAGTAGGGTGCACTGAGCTAGTGTCACTCCATATATAATACGATTTACAATTCATTGGTCACAGAGACTGTGTCATTCGGCTGAAATCGTATTATTAATATTTAGACTAAAACATACACATATGCTTCCACACTTGAATACACACGCTCCATATAGCATGCACACACGCTGAGCTTCAGACGAAAGTGTCAAGGAAACACAGCTTAATTACAAGCACACACACACACACACACACAAATCATACATTCAGCAGCGTCGAGCAGGCTGAAATACCAGACTCTGTGTACATCACACACAACTTTGTAAATTACAAGTGACCGAGTGTGTGATGTTCTCACTTAATCTGGCTAACACACGCACGCACACACACACACACACACACACACACACACACACACACACACACACACACACACACACACACACACACACACACACACACACACACACACACACACACACACACACACACACACACACACACACACACACACACACACACACACACACACACACACACACACACACACACACACACACACACACACACACACACACACACACAGATCAAAGCACTGTTGGGTATTACTCTACTGCTGTGCTGTGGACTTGTAAAGACAACCGAGTGCACAGAACAATCTTTAGGATGAACATTTATAAGGATTTAAAGGGAAGTATTAAATGGGTGCAATAAAACTTTCATTTGTGCTATGAGCATGAATATATCAAATCATGCAGCCTGTTGAGGAGAAGTGCATTATTACTTTTGAAAATTATTGTTTTTATTATTTTTTCCTTGTAGGTGAAAAAATCCCATAGGTTTACATTGAAGGAGAGACCCAAGCCATATCTGGAGACCAGAATATATTAGAGCAGCATTTTACAGCAACCACCTATAGAGCCAGATTTAGTAAACACATTAGCATAAGACCGCAATCCCATAAAAGTGCAGATGGGAGTGGAAAATTCTGCGGGTGATCTACTGACAATGCCCAAATTAAAGAACACGGACGCAGACAGATCATTTCCATTAACACCAACAACGCAATATAAAAATAACAGGGCTTGGTAAACAATATGTTCAGATAACCTCTTTCTCTGGTATTCCAAAAAAAGAAAGACAAGTGTGGCGAAAATGCTCTCGCTTCTGTTACATGCTCTCTATTCTCTGTGGTGCCTCCTCCTATAGCGCCAACTATGTAATGGGATGTGTGTGTGTGTGTGTTTTGCCTTTATTTTGACAGGAGAGTAGAGATAGTTGACAGGAAATGAACTGAAAGAGAGAGGGATGCCCATGAGGGCACAGGGAAACTGTAGCTTGCCAAGCCATGCACTTATAATTTAAAGCATTTCAACTACAATCAAACTACATGGTAAAAAAAAAGTTATAAACCTGTCATTTTAACCTTAAACACTATTTTACCTGATTTGACCCTTAAAAATTTATGTTGTTTGTTTAAACTAATGTATTTATTTAGGTTTAAATAGTGATATTAAATCATATTTTTGACTTGAATACCAAAACTAGATACCAATATCTATTACTTTATATACCAATTAGTTACCATTTTTTTTAGTGCATCCTTGTCCAGTTACTTACAAAAGTAGCTAATTACATTGATACTATTTAAAGAGACAGTATTTGTATAAATATACAGCTATTTTATTCATTTAATTACAAAAAAACACACCATTCAAACATTATGCACACCAATAAATTAATTAATAAATGAAGTAATAAAATAGAAAACATGCTCATTTATTCTAACTGAGCCAAAAACACAGTGATGAACAACTGTAAATTAATCAGTGAATTGATAGTTGAATCACATGAACCGTAGTGCAAACAAAACAATTCACTCAAATGAATTACATTTCCTAATGTTTTGTTTGAGAGAGAAAAGATGTTTGATTTGTTGCCTCAGTTGGCTCTGCAGTAAAGGCTTCACTATTTAAAAAATAACTGCTGTCATGCCACTGAAAAATTTAGTTAAGTTAGCAGAAATGCAACATTTTAGGCCGGGGCAGACCAAGCCGACGGTCGGCCGTTGGGCGATGTCCGACTTAGTTTTTTTGGCTTCATTTTTTAGGTGTGTAGCATGTTGAATCGATGTTGGGCCGTCTGTGTGAGAGAGAAATCTGATTGGCTGTTCAGCTTAGCGAACGAGTATAATAGCAAAACAGCGAGCAAAGAATTCAAGACGGTACAGACAGAAGCCTGTTATAATTTTACATAATCTTACCTGAGCATTCGAATGATCGAATATTTTCATAATAACTGAGTGGAATGAAGAAAGTGATCAGTGATATTCAAAATGGTAAGCAAGCGCTGATTTGTTTACGGTTTGCATATTTGCAGTCCTAGTTTCGGTTTCCCTTTTTGAATGCTGATATACACTCACCTAAAGGATTATTAGGAACACCATACTAATACTGTGTTTGACCCCCTTTCGCCTTCAGAACTGCCTTAATTCTACGTGGCATTGATTCAACAAGGTGCTGAAAGCATTCTTTAGAAATGTTGGCCCATATTCATAGGATAGCCTCTTGCAGTTGATGGAGATTTGTGGGATGCACATCCAGGGCACGAAGCTCCCGTTCCACCACATCCCAAAGATGCTCTATTGGGTTGAGATCTGGTGACTGTGGGGGGCATTTTAGTACAATGAACTCATTGTCATGTTCAAGAAACCAATTTGAAATGATTCGAGCTTTGTGACATGGTGTATTATCCTGCTGGAAGTAGCCATCAGAGGATGGGTACATGGTGGCCATAAAGGGATGGACATGGTCAGAAACAATGCTGAGGTAGGCTGTGGCATTTAAACGATGCCCAATTGGCACTAAGGGGCCTAAAGTGTGCCAAGAAAACATCCCCCACACCATTACACCACCACCACCAGCCTGCACAGTGGTAACAAGGCATGATGGATCCATGTTCTCATTCTGTTTACGCCAAATTCTGACTCTACCATCTGAATGTCTCAACAGAAATCGAGACTCATCAGACCAGGCAACATTTTTCCAGTCTTCAACTGTCCAATTTTGGTGAGCTCTTGCAAATTGTAGCCTCTTTTTCCTATTTGTAGTGGAGATGAGTGGTACCCGGTGGGGTCTTCTGCTGTTGTAGCCCATCCGCCTCAAGGTTGTGCGTGTTGTGGCTTCACAAATGCTTTGCTCCATACCTCGGTTGTAACGAGTGGTTATTTCAGTCAAAGTTGCTCTTCTATCAGCTTGAATCAGTCGGCCCATTCTCCTCTGACCTCTAGCATCAACAAGGCATTTTCGCCCACAGGACTGCCGCATACTGGATGTTTTTCCCTTTTCACACCATTCTTTGTAAACCATAGAAATGGTTGTGCGTGAAAATCCCAGTAACTGAGCAGATTGTGAAATACTCAGACCAGCCCGTCTGGCACCAACAACCATGCCACGCTCAAAATTGCTTAAATCACCTTTCTTTCCCATTCTGACATTCAGTTTGGAGTTCAGGAGATTGTCTTGACCAGGACCACACCCCTAAATGCATTGAAGCAACTGCCCTGTGATTGGTTGATTAGATAATTGCATTAATGAGAAATTGAACAGATGTTCCTAATAATCCTTTAGGTGAGTGTAGACAGATATTTACTTGCACGCAGACGCAGAACGCACAGCTAGTTGACAATCACCTTTAGTACTTTTGGTGTGTTCAAGCGCAGCTCTTGGCGGAGACACATCCGATGAAAGGCGACAACATGGTCAGCTTTGGTCGCCGCTAGTTCTTTGACATCGGCTTGGTGTGTCCACTGCACGTCAGTCACGTTGTCTTTTTCTGTCTAAGTGGGCAGTGCTTTGCCAGAAAAAGCTGCTAAGTGGACCAGACTTCATACTGATAGTTTGACAAGTCTACTTGACTATGAGAGACACCACAGACATTCTGCTGTTCTCAGATCAGCTCTCTGCCTCTAGAGCTGAACTAAATGTGTTTAGAAAAGAAAAAAGGCAAAATACACAACACAAACAAATTAGCACACTGACTGAAAAGATTATTACATAAAAATCCCCTGTTCTCCTTTCAAGTCACACAAACCGTTGTCATGGAGGGCTGTGGGATCAACTGAGGACTTTTACAAAGTAAAAGGAACAACAACAATTGA